ATTATGTATCCAAAAAAAGGTCACTGAAAATTTTTAATTAATCTTTTTAATACTTTCAAAAATAATTACCCATATATGGATACTTAATAAAAAATTGTTTATATTTTAAAAATAAATATATAGCATTTATATTAATCAAAAAAATTTTTAAAGAAAATTGTACTATTTTAAGAATTTAGTATTTAAATTGAAATAAATAAACATTTTTTAAAAAGGTATAAAGGTAAAAATTCTAAAAGGATATGAATAACTAGAAAAGAAAAATGTAAATCTTTCTGCTATAACAGATTTCTATAATATTTATTTAAATGATAGAAGGTTCTTAGATACTTTATATTTGATTCTTTTTTCTTTTATAAACAAGTGTTACTTGATTTTCTCGATTATTAAAAGTCAAGCTTTTGATCAAAGAGAATTATTAACAAGAAAGAAGGAAAATAATAACTTTCAAAGATACACTTTAAATTGTTTTAAGAATAGTTTAATCCAAAAAATCAAAACTTGTATTTTTTGTGTACGATCAAAGGATCAGAGGATCAGAGGATCAGCAAAGGGTTTTTTTTAGTATACAGAAATTATCAATGATTTATTTAGTTGGATTTGATCTCTTTATACGTTCGGGTTGAATGTTGACATAATAATGTTTAGAATAAATATTGGTTGCAAATATTTACAGTGTTTTAAGGTCACAGGTGGCGACCCGTAATCTTAGTCACATGATAAAACGACATGCACACGTGTGTGTATGTGTGCAATAATATGGCTTTGTCTTTTACTAATGCAAAGGAGAATAATGTAAGCGCATTTGTATTCGCATTGGAAGGAGAAAGACAAATAGTTAAGGCATTGATGGACCTTAGTGTGAATAGATAGATTGCGAGATTGTTATGCAAGTTATATACGCACGCACAATATATTCAACTTTTCTGACTACACTTACAGCTCAAAGACACGTTTTTTTATGGAAAGGCATAAGCTTTAACGCGAGGCAAGCAACTGCATGTATAACATCATTGCTGCATTAAATTAATTAAACAATTACTCAATTGACTAGTATTAAACAGGTTTATTGTTGTTGTTGTTCTTGTTATTTTCACATATGTACCCAACTTTAAAAAAGAAACGATCAGAGCTCTCCTAGAATTTGCCTAATTAAAGAACAAAGGAAATATCGAACTAATTGGTAAACGGAAAAATAGAATTGAGTGCCATATAAACTTGTTTGCGGTAAGTCGGAGTATCACTACACATCATACAGGGGTAATACGGGAATCGGAATGACATTCCGCTCTTTGGAAAATATGACCCCACATAATCAGTTTGTGTTCTAGGAAATGTAAAACTTTGAGATCGATAAACAAAATGAAGAATTGATGAATTTGATGAGAGATATCGTATGTACTGTGCACGGAATAAGAGTAAAGTAGAAAGTGCGCGACACTTGGTGAATAACGTAATTGTGTTACATAACATATGCATGAAGGCGTGATTGTTTTGGGGGAAATGTTTATTGCACATCGCCGATCACGTATCAGGTGTACGAGCATTTACAGATCTATCTCGGCGTAATTCGGATCCTAAAATTGCTCCCCCCCTAAATTTATACTTGGTGTCCGATTCCAACTATAAAGATTATTGAGTTGATTTATATATGCCAATGACTGAGAAACTTTAATTTGGTTTGATTAATAGCTTGTTGCGAATAGTAAGTTGTATAAAATTTTGGAGGACATAAGGAAAATTCTTTTTCATGATTAAATGTGATATTGATAGGCGCATATTCATATGATACTCAAATTTAAAGCGCACATGATTAAGGGTACGAGATAAATTAAGGGCCCTAGCTCATTACCCCCCCGAAAAATCGCTCAAACCCTTTGATTATCTACATGCAGAATCAATGCACATCCGGCAAAGTGGATTTGATCTTTAACGGACTCTGATATGCGCTATTATTTACGCTTACGATTCTACATATGTACCAACATCACGTTATTGGAATTTATGATGGTCTCATTCATGGTTTTTTTTTTACGATCGCACCGCTCGTGGATGTAAGTGCCGTGCACGCACGTAAATATAAGACTTAAGAGGAAATTAAATTAACGTAATCAATCCCACGGCCATAATTATGGGTATTACACTTGATTGATGGTTCTAATGGTTTTGATGCTAACATGGCGTTTTCTCCGGAGGGGTCTGCGATGGCACGTCGTACGTTTGTGAAAATGAACAGGTTGCTCCATCTACCATTCTCAAAATAAAAATCTCTTACAAAATAATGCTGTATATATATACATATATTATAACTGTATTATGTTGACCAACATTTTATCGTATCACACATTAATATAGATTGATGTGTGCTTCTCTGTTCATATTTAGAAAATGTCGTTAGTATGCTGGGCGATGATGCGATTTCGGCTGCATTATGTTACGTAAATCATCTGACTGTTGGGTCCGATTTACGGTATAATTGTATAGATTACAAATATAAATATCTTCTTAATTTTACATAAATATCTTCCAATTTCGTAAAAATCCAAAGTATCTGATTTCCATCAGTAATCACAAGGATAATCATGGCTTCATCGTCATCATATATTTACGAGTTGAAAGAAAGGGACACACGCGGTGAAATCGAGAAATTCCTCAAGAATTCACCGCGAAACACTGTCAATTATGCGAAATCCTTATTTCCAATCACCGGCTGGATCGGTCGTTATAACTTGACCTGGTTCGTCGGAGACCTTATCGCAGGTCTAACAGTTGGCGCTGTGGTCATCCCGGAGGGTATGGGTTATGCTAAGACCGCAACCTTACCACCAGAATACGGGCTCTATTCTTCGCTCGTAGGAGTCGCCCTCTATTTTTTATTCTCCACATCAAAGGACATTACAATTGGACCCACATCGGTAATGAGTTTACTCATCGCCCAGGTCCTAGCTTCCATCACAGGTGGTGCCAAAAATTTTCCTTACACTAGTCCACAATTAGCTTCTACTCTCGCTTTCTTAGCTGGTATAGTTGCTCTCGTCATTGGAGTATTCCGTCTTGGAATTGTGACCAATATCATTTCGGCTCCTGTCATCGCCGGTTTTACCACCGGTTCCGCTGTCACAATTGCCACCGGTCAGGTAACGCCTGATTAGAATAAATGAATATGTTCATACACTAGACTTCATCATACCAATTATACTTTTCTTCATTTTAAAATAGGTTCCAGGTTTACTAGGCATTAAGGGAATAGATACTACACGAGCTTGTTATTTAGTCATCATAGATATTTTTTCTCGCCTGTCGGACACCAAGAAAGACGCGATTATAGGATTGATCAGTCTTTTCGTTTTGTCGGCCATTAAATTTTCCACCGCATATCTCAGCAAACGTCTCCCAAAGTGGGAGAGGATTTTCTTCCTCATCGGAATTCTCCGCATTGGGATTGTGGTAATTATAGACACCTTGATCTGCTATCTTATCAACAGGAATGTTTCAGTTAGTCATTTGTCGACGCAAAGTCCAATATCAGTTATGGGAAAAATTCCTCAAGGGTTCGATCATATTAGCCCACCAATCCTTGATAAATCTATTTTATCTTACGTTGGCCAATATGTTCCCTCGGTAACTCTCATATTAATCTTGGAACACATTGCTATCGCCAAAAGCTTTGGTCGGATGAATGACTACACGAGTATGTATCATATATTATTTAATGTTAAAAAAGTTCATTATTATCATTTGCACTAACCAAAAATGAATTCTCATCTTTTTAGTCCAACCAAGTCAAGAACTTATTGCCATTGGTATAACCAATATATTTGGATCATTCCTTGGTTCTTATCCGGCCACCGGCTCTTTCTCGCGTAGTGCTATCAAAGCAAGATCCGGTGTGAGGACTCCGCTGGCCGATATCTTTACGGGTGCTCTGGTCCTCTTGTCTCTTTACGTTTTGACTCCTGTGTTCACCTATATTCCGAGCGCGACTTTAAAGTACGGTTTGTCCTATGATCATGCGAGTGGTCGGTTGCATATTAAAAGAAAAAAATTTACCTTTTCTTGAACGCGTAATTTTTTAGTGCGGTCGTAATTCATGCTGTGATTGGCCTTATATCACCACCTTCATATTGGATAAAATTATGGCACATCCAATGTACAGTGTTTGCATTTAACTAATTCTACTGCCTTATCCGTACACGCATCGACTTATTTCTTTTTTATCGATTAGTTTGGGATTTTGCCGTTTTCGCCGTTGGCCTTATTGTCACCATCTTTACTACGGTCGAAGTAAGTAGTACCGTCATTATGCAGAAATCGCACATTAAATGTCGCCTCCCTCCTTAATTATAACCATTTTCAATTTGCACAAAGATTGGCGTGTATTCATCAACTGGTCTGGCGCTCGCGGTCTTGTTCGTAAGATTAGCCCGCCCTAGGTTCTATGCTATCGGCCGTATTCCAACTGGCGAAGGAGAATCACAAAAATATGCTTATGTTCCAATGCGTAAGGCATTTACACATGCCGCTCATCCACCGGAAGGTGTACTCATTTTTAGGTTTGAGGAAGGTCTTACACATCCAAACGCAAACTTTATTGACGACAAAGTAGTGGAGTATGTTAAGGAACATACCAGACGAATGGCAAAGCGAGCCGAAAAATTCGGTGATCGGCCATGGAACGACGCCGGCAGCAAAAACGAAGAAGTTTACTTTGAGGAAAACTCTAAGTTACCCCCATTAAAAGCTGTCGTGTTTGATATGACGTCGGTAAGCATGATCGACTCGACGGGTATGAATTCGTTGATAGACATTAAAAAGGCGTTGAACAAACACGCAGCACGACGGGTAGAATTTCATTTTGCAAACATAGCAACTGCCTCAATCCAGCGAACCCTCATAGAGTGTGGGTTTGGAACTATGGAAACGAATACGGAAGAATCTCGCCCTGGAGATTTGGAAAGTTCAAGTGTTGAGGATAGGAAGGAAGACGATGTCGTCATACAATCGAAAAGATTCTTCCACTTATCACTAGAGGAAGCCATATCGGCTGCTACTGATGGTAAATGGTGAAGGGATTTTGAATGTTAATAGCAAGGAAGGAAGGACATTAAGTTATTATTGTTGCGAAATTAGATTACGTAGTGTATATATTGCTCATTTGCTCATTGTATTGTAGTCAAATTCTATTTTAGAACCAAAATTTTCTGTTATATATGAATTCACGAAATTAACTTCTAGTAAATATTTAAGCATTTTTTTTTTTTTCAAAAGCATAATACAGTATAATCAACGTAGGGTAACCACATCATTGAATTAAACCTCAGACACACAATTACTGTTTAGTTACCGAATAAAATCAATTCTTTTGATATAGACAATTATTTTCGAAAGTGGGTGGGAATTTTTCCCAAAACTGCGCTTTTAAAGTTATGAACCTGAAAAATTTATTGTTACTTTTAGTATATAAAAAATTTGCAACATACAATAGTTCTTACGTAATAGATCTGACCTTCAAAAAACCATAATAAAGATGAAGGCTCGTATAGTTGGACGTTCCGCAACATGAGTTAAAAAACTGTCTTATAATTTTCTTTGAAATATTCTGTCTTGTTTCTTGTCGATTTCCACCAATTAATGCTTTTGACATCATATTCTACGAGAATAAGGATTCTTCGACAAAAAGAACGAGGTAAAGTTTTCCTGCTAAGCAGAAAAGTAGAATCCGTAGAATCAGTTATTTAATTAGCAGATTTAATTAATGTACCAGTATAAAATTGGAACGATTCTTCGAGTATTTAAAAAAACTTTTTTTTTTTGTTTTGATTGACTATAAGAATCATTTTTTTACAATAGAATATCAACATGAGTTTTATGTCAAAAATAATCTTTTAATGTCATTTTTTGTGAATTATAAATATATATACTGTATATATTATATACAGTATGTATATTTAATAATTATTAAAGCATTAGGATACAAATCTAATATTCTAAATAGTTTTTTACAACAAGAACTAAATACTTTATCTGAAGGAGAACAACAAGATCTAAATTTTGCTCAAACATTAAATGTTGTTAATATATTTCTCAAAAAAGATAATAAGTTAAAATTTTCATAAAAATATTATAATTATTAATATTCCATTTAATTTTGAAGATCAAATAAAATTGATTGAACTATTCATTTTTAAAAAATAAATAATTTCATTATTTTTAATTAGTTATAAATATTTTTTAATTATATAATATTTTTTATAAAAATATTATATATTTTATTTTTAATATTACAAATTATACAATTAAATATTTTTTAAATTTAAAAATTTCTTTTTTTAAAAAAAAAATTTATTTAATAATATACAGTATACAGTATGTTATATTTTTATTAACTACTTATTTCTTTATCAGTATACTATATATAAAAAATTTACATATGATTGCTTCCAAAAGTTTGAGTCCACTTATTATGTTTTTATTATAAATTTTAACTTTGACAATTTTTAAATCATTAACTATACAGTCAAAAATTATAAAATTTATAT